CGGGTTCGAGAGCGGAACCTTAGCAGCCTGCGGCCGCACCGCCTTCTCAGAAGGGAGGCCTCTACCGTCCGGCCTCGGATCTGCAGCTGCCGCGCGCGCGCACGCGCGCGCGCGCCCCAGGCAGCGCCGACCCCGCCCCGCCAGCCTCCTACTTCTCTGTCGGCTCCCACCCCTCCTCTCAGCCCGCGGGTGCAATCGGCGCTCTCCCGGAGACATACGCGAAGCGACATGGAACGCCTTCCACTAAAATGAGCTGTGATATCCTTTTGATGGCTATAATTTATTCCAAATCGTCCTTGGACTGAAACGATCAATTAGCAGCCCGAAACGCACTGTGAAGTAAATTGTCACACCCTCTATTACAGGATGGTTATCATATATTTATAAGGTGTGTTTTCTGCAATCAGAACCAACAAGGTGTTGAGCGATCAGTCATAAACGCACTTCTTCAAAAGAGCGGGAGAGAAGCTCTAGCATTGTGTGGCGAGGAAGAAAATCTTATGACAGTTATTACCTCTCCCACCCTCTGCCCACGTGATATTTCCTCTTGGCATCTAGGAAGTGCAGTGAGGCGAGAGCCCTGCACCAACTCTCCAGGCCACTCGTGTGACCCCTGTGAACAAAAGAGAGACAGCCAAGAGGAGTGGTTTCCTTAGAGGTCAGGCATAAAGATCACTCACTCACTCTCCGTCTCTGTTTTTACCCTCATCCAGGAGAACAGTATCTTACTCTTCCTTCTAAGCTTCTAGCTGAATGTATGCATTCTATACTTAATCTTAAGTGCCTTTTCTTTCTCTGTTATTTAGATGTTATGTACTGTAGAGATTATGCCATGGTGATATAAAGTTTACCCACAGAGAGAACTCTGCATTCTGAATTGGAATCTCTGCCAGAACGCACAAACTCTGAGAAAGTCGTAAGAAATTCTCAGTCTGGTAGACTGTCCTGACCAAGCTATGGAAGCATTGTTATTTTCCTTATAGTCATCCTTAATGACTATACATGGAAATACATCCAGAACTTCTGAGTTTCCTATAACAAGCTATCATCATATTATCATCCACCAACCACCTATCAATCATTTTTTAGAAGGATTCTGGTTTGTATTGTTTTTCCTTTTGCCTGAAAACCCTAACTCTAAAGCCCAACCTACTCATTATTGTGAGAAAAATTTAGCAGCCAGAAGTATGCCTCTGTGGGCAATAAAGTGACATCTGTGAAGAGTGAGTCACAAGATGGAGTAAGATACAGAGTTTACACCACATTCTTCTTAGGTTAACTACCCTCATGATTTCTGAATGGCCAGGCTTGCCTGCAATGCCAGCCTCTGAAGAATGGACAGAAATCTGGTTGGGCATTTGAGCTGTAAAGGCAGCTGTTGCCATTGGGCTTCCCCCAGCATAAGTGGAGCACCATGTTCCTCTCTTAGAAAGCAAAGGAGCCAGGGACCCTTGCCTCACTTGTTAGTAAAGAGCATAGTAAAGAGCCAGACCCAGCACCTTTACCTTGTAGCTTCTAAAGTTAGTGATTTAATTTGCATTTAACAGCTAATATTTATTGAGCACTTACTCTGTGCCAGGCATTGTGCTTTAAATTATATGCATTACCTTATTTAATCCTATCAACAAACTTATGGGGGAAGTTTCCTCATTTTGCCAATAAGAAAACTGAGATTTGGCAAAATTAAGTAACTTCTCCAAGGGCATACTCCTATTAAGTGATGATCTCAAACCCAGGTCAGTCTCCAGTGCCCATGGTTTTTACCCCAATAACATAATACCTCAAAAATTTAAGATTTTGTCTTAAGATTTTCCTCCAAAAAGATTTTAGAGGAGCTAATGACACAATGACAGTGGTGAATTCTGGAAGAAGAATGAAAGAACAGCTGCTTGCAAAGGAAAGACACAACAGATACATATACCCTCACCAGGTAGGTTACCCCTTTTCTGTTCTATCCTTCCTACATCCCATGATTTCTTTTTCAGAGTTATCACCTGCCATCTGGTGTGTAGCCAAAGAGACCTTTCCCGAGGTCAGTGAGGACTGCTAGGCTTGGGATGGGGGTGGGGGATAGGAGAGATGAACAGACCCCAGAGAAATCACAGCACCCTGGGGAAGAGACTTAAGTGGGAGCCAGAATTGGCCAGAGGCCCTTGTCCCAGACCCCCAGCTCTGAGAATGAAATGTTGCCTCCTGATGGACTTTAAATTACCAACATCGCTAAACTCTCCCTTAATAGACTTGTAAAGATCTGCTTGCTACCTTTTTCCCCCTTCATGTAGAATTTGTAATCAAGAGCCCAATTTTGTCATTTGGAAATACTAATTATCTAATCACGCCATGCTGCATAACGTACTTGTCTGCCCAATTAGCTAGGACAATTATTAAAATTCAGAGGCCTAATTATGTCTCAATTTAATGCTGGCAAACTTGCATACAGAGCAGTAATTAAAATCCTCTCTTTCCCTCTGCCTTTAGGGCAGGGGATGATTAGGCCCTGTCAGGGGGTGTACTGAACCAAACCAGTGAAGCGTATTGTGCAACATGACCCTGCATTGTTAAGTGTGTCAACATATTAACCTGAATTCCCTTCAGCCCCCACATAATCACATTTGGTGGAGGAATAAAGGAGCTAAAACATGAAGCATTTTATTAAAAAAACATAAATTCTTTTTAATTAATGCTATGAGAGTTCTGATGAATTTCATGCTTCCGAGTGCTGGAAGACATAAGACTGGTTCATCTAATTACTAGCAAATTTGCTCTTGTTAAAACTACTTTTTTTTACTCATTTAAAGAAAATGATTTTTTTTTTTTTGGTGGTGTAATAAAAAAAGAAGAAAAGCCTGGCTATTTGGCTTCCAGTAATACAGTTGATTACCAGTTTTGTTTGATGATAGAACACAAGTGAATGTTGACTTCCAAAAGAATCAAACCCAAGACTGGAGGCATTAAAAAAAGCCTAGAATTTAATACTTGAAAGATGTTAATAAAAGTGAAACATTAAAAATCATAATATTGAAACAAATTCAAAATATTTATCTTTTGAGCTTAAAAGTTTGATGTGTGAAATAAAACCAGCATGAGGAGACCAGAGCACTGCACAAATTCCCATTGCTTCAGAAGTCCCTCAGCGTGCAGGAACCCAGACAGTTTTGTCTACTCTGCTAGCATCTCAATCCTCTTCTCTATGAACTAAGGAGAGCCACCAAACCCAGTAAGGCTTCAGAGCTGTCTTCTAAATTTTGGCTTTCACTCATGATGGAATATGTGATACATTATTCATGTATTCAACTAAAAAAAGAAAGCATTCTATCTAAACCAAAAATGAATTGTTCTGGAGAAAGAAGGACTTCTTTCCATTGCTTCTAAACTTCTTGCTGCATGGATAGTTTCTAGAGAGCAAGAGACGCACGAACACACATATACACGGTCACTTGGTTGGACAGAGATTACTCTCAATTGATTTCATTTTGAATCTCATGACAACCTTGTGACACAGTAGGTAAGGCAAGCCAGTTGCCATTTTATTAATTTGGGGCATTTAAAATACTTACTGAAGCTGACTACTCTACACCCCACTTCCATTTAATTATAGGTAGGGCAAGTAGAACTCAGTTCCCCTTGCTTGCTGTTCATTGCATCAGATGGAGTGGCTGTGAATGAGACACCAATGAGGGATTCTTGGTTTAGTAAAATATCTCAAGTTGCGATCAAAGGATAGATAGTATTATAAATAATGATGGAGTCTATATATCAACTCTGGAGGACCTTCTGTCCTTCGATCAATACTTACAACAGGTTTAGTCATATCTGTTTATATTTGGTGCCTTTGCCCGTTTATGTCCTCCTTTAAGTTTTTATATTCTCCAAGATATGTATGATTACATCTGAGTTGGTGGTAGTAAAAGCAGTGTTCCTTCCTCCTACTCTTACTCTGGGTACAATATGGGAAAGAAGATGGTGTTTAGGGACAACTCTGGCTGGTACAGGCCCTCTTACTAACAAAGACAGTGACCACAGGATAGTCTTTACAGGAGATGGTTGGCTGGAGGTAGGACAGGCCCTTTGGCGTTTGTGCTCTAAAACCAGGGGGTAGCTCCTCCCCCAGGCTTCCCGCAGAGTGTGCCCCATGTCTTGAAAATGGCGTTGCTCTGAGTCTCTTTGGATGGCAAACTGAAGTGCAAATCTGTGTTCTGACTTGTTCCTGTGGCTGTCAGCATGTTTTCCTCTTGTCAGCAGCAATTGACTGGTCAGGCTCACCCCTGTACAGCAATTGTAACAGCTCATTGACAGGCTAGTGACCCAGCTGGACCTGATAATGGAAAACTATTGATTTTTGTAGGCTCCACGAATCTAAAATGAACGACCGATGTAATGTCATCAATTGTCTCGGACTCTGATAACCCAAGGGAAAGTTTCAGGGATTGCTTGTATTTCCTGACAATAGTGTTTCAAAATCTCACTAGGAATATGTAAGAAGAACCCCATTTCTTGGGTGTTTTCCTTAAATGACCCCAATTAGATAGGGCTTCGATACCTAGCCTCGCATGTTAAATAAAGTGGGAGTTAGCATTACCAAATTAGCCAAACTGGAACCTGATAGACCATCTAGACAAGATATTTGAGGAGAGGCACTTTGGAAAGGAAATGTTTCAAATGTTTATTATAAAACAAGCTCACAGAAAAGAAAGAAAAAGGTTGGGATTAAACCAAAATATATTGGCTTTCAAAGATCTTAATAGATGAAATTAGGATACAACTTTTAGACTGCTTCTGCTTACCTGAGTTGATTTGTTTGGTAGAAAGAAAGGCTTGAAAATAATGCAGACGTGCCTTGGGTGTGTGTTGGGAGAAGTCACTATTTAGTTTGTTTTTAAAACCCTCTTCTCCTTAGTTGATCATTTCAAAATTCTCAAACATCACTCAGTGTATTCTTCAGAAACAAGAGCTTTCTTTCCGAGCTAAATTAGCAATGGGTTAGAGCTAATTTTGCCCACTAGACAGTCCAGAGGACTCTGTGCTGAGTTATGGATAGAATGTCTGGTAATGTCCTCTGCTGAAGGGAACTTTCTTTAAAAGAAGAAGAAGAAGAGGAAGAAGAGGAAGAAGAGGAAGAAGAAAGAAGAAAGAAGAAAGAAGAAGAAGAAGAAAGAAGGAAGGTTATTGATCGTGGCTGCCAACTCGATACATTTAGTTCACAATTCACTTGTGGTGAGAACATAATCATCTTATTGTCCTGATGAAATTCAGACATTCTTAGAAGACAGTTCTGAGGGCTAGATGAAATCATAGAGTACAGAAGTAACCGGGGTGCTTCCTCACCCATTTACTCATAGAGGCGAGAGAGAGAGAGAGAGAATGAGAGAGAGAGAGAGAGAAGCTTCAGTGAGGAGCTGGAAAGAACAGACCCCAGAGGTGACAAGTCCAAGTGTGGCTGGGCTCCTAGTCACAGGATGCTGCAATCTTCACACTCTCCTGTAATGGTCCCTTTATGGCCTTTGATTAGCTTCATCCCTTATAACACTACTTTTCTGGTTTCCTAGAGCTATCAAAATCAACATTGCTAACTGTTTGGCTGCCCATTAGTAAAGATACATGAGGTTAAGACCTGAAAGAAATTAAGCTAGACAAAAAAAAAAAAAAAAAAAAAAATCCACTGGCATTTGGACTTCACTAAATATAAAACACTTGGTGCAGAGAACACAGGATTTGTCTAATTCTGTGACATGTTCTTATGGCCCAGCCAAGGTATCAGCCCCTAAAGGTCAGAGGCTAGGTCTTACATGTTTTGGGGTTCTTCAGAGTGGCTGTCACAAGGTCTTACATGTCACAGACACAATAGCCACTGAAAAAAGAGGCAAAAAGCTACTTTTTAGTATAGAAGGATGAAGGTCAGCATTTTCCAGGCTATAATAGATTTAGGAGAAATCAGTGGTGCCTGTCCATGTGCCTGTCTGCAGGTTCGTGCCAGTCTGTGAAGAAGTTTCACGTGTCTCTGGTAAATATATGAACAAAACTAAATAAGTGCAATTTTATATATCAAAACTAAATCTTTTAGAAATTCTAAAATTATATCTTTATGTGGTGTTGAACACTGTTTCTTTTCACAAATAATTATGATTGTAGGTGAAAGATGCTTTTAATTCATATCCTCACTTGACAAGGCAAAATAAAAGTGGGCAAAATCATTCATTGGTCCCAGTAGCTTAAAAATTACACTTCTGTGAAAGCCAAAGGGATAAGTGAATCAAATAACTTATTCATATACCTTACTAAAATTAAAACAATTACAGGATTATGACTGTCAATAAATAGAAGTGTTTGTGACTAAGACACATAGCACTGGGGCACCTGGGTGCCTCAGTCAGTTGAGTGTCTGCCTTCTGCTCAGGTCATGATCCCAGGGTCCTGGGGCAGCTCCCCATAGCATCGCATCAGGCTCCCTGCTCAGCGCGAAGTCTGCTTCTCCCTCTTCCTCTGGCGCCCCTCCCCCCACCGCTCATGCTCTCTCACTCTCTCTCAAATAAATAAAATCTTAAAAAAAAAAAAAAGACACACAGCACTAATTGTGATATAAGTGGACCACACTGGACTAAGATCAAGTCATTTGGGGCTTCTGTTAGTTTCTCTTCTATTTTCTTTTTCTTTTCCTTTTTTTTTTTTTTTAAAGATTTTATTTATTTATTTGAGACAGAATGAGAGAGAGAGAGAGCATGTGAGAGGGGGGAGGGTCAGAGGGAGAAGCAGGCTCCCTGCCGAGCAGGAAGCCCGATGCGGGACTCGATCCAGGGACTCCAGGATCATGACCTGAGCCGAAGGCAGTCGCTTAACCAACTGAGCCACCCAGGCGCCCCTCTCTTCTATTTTCTATCTTTACAAACAAGTTATGGATTTTTAAACCCAAATCTGTGATTTGATTGAAATGCCAAAAAATATGATCTTAGTCATCATAATTTTAACTTCAAGATAATCTTTTCTGACAACATGATTCTTACCTCCAGCTCTATGCAATGTCAGGTCTGTTGCAAGCAGCAGCTCCACAGAAATGATGCCATTTGGAGGAGAAAATAATTTTGTTTCTTTGTTTTTTAATTTGATTTATAAAGTACATATTTAAATCCATACTACGTGCTTTGCTGTGCTTTATAACTTGTACTGTAGATTTAAATGTATTAAGCATCTTCCCTCCAATAATCAATCGTAACATTAAGAATAATAAAGGATTAATAACTCTGGGTCCACTATCACCTCTATTTTAACCTCTGCCTCTTATCTTTCAGAATGCTTTAGGTTGCAAATAAAAGTCATTCCACAAAACAGAAGGGCAAAAATCTCATGGTCCCTCCATTTGTGACAACATGGATGAAACTTGAGGGCATTATACTACGTAAAATAAGTCAGACAGAGAAAGACAAACATTATATGATCTCACTTGTATATGAAACTAAAAAACCAAACTCATAGAAACAGAGAGCAGATTGGTGGTTGCCAGAGGTGGGGGGTCAGAAGTGGGGAAAATAGGTGAAGGTAGTCAAAAGGTATAAACTCTGGGGATGTAATATCTAGCTAACAATACTTAATTGTGTATTTGAGTGTTGCTCAGAGAATAAATTTAAAAGTTCTCATCACAAGAAAGGAATGTTTTGAAACCATGTGATAGATGTTAACCTAACATATTGTGGCAATAATTTTGCAATATAACAACATAATAAATCATTATATTGTATATCTTAAACTAATATAATGTTATATGTCAGTTATATCTCAATAAAATGGCAGGGGAGGGGAATCTTGTGGTTCCCGGGTTGACTGATTTAATATCTCAGTAATATCATCAAGGACCCAGGTTTTTTTTTCTATATTTCTCTTCAGCCATGTCAGCATGTTGGCTTCTCCTTTTATGTCTTTCCTTCATGGTGGCAATATGGCCACGTAGTTCCATGTGTCACATACAGATAATGTTCAGCATCAGTAAAAGGAAACATTCCTCTATTGTATCCTTTTTAAGGCCTGATGAACACCTTCCCAAAAGTCTGACTTTACCTCAAGCCTCTTCCAGAGTAGTGTCACAGGCCTAGTGGGGCAAGAGGAATAGACTTATCATGACTGGATTATTAACTAGTCTTTATCCATCCTCTGGGAATAGAGAAGGGCACAGCTTCCCCTAAAGGATACCAAGCCTGAAAATAAATTAGCTGGAAAAAACGTAAGTTTCTCATAACAAGGAAGAGAACAGGATACATAAACTTAGAAAAACTATTTTGATGACATTCCATCTTAGAATCTAGCCATCATGTAAGAAGTTCAAATACTCTGAGGACACCATACTAAAGGAAGCCTAAGCTTAAAGAAGGCACCAGACAAGCAAGTGAATGAGACCTTCTTGGACCTTCCGGGTCTGTTCAAGTGGATGCAGCCAAGTCAATAATCTAAGACAAAGGAGCAGAACTGCTCAACCAATCCCTGCCGAAACTCTTGACCCAAAGAATCTTGAGATGAAATGGTTGTTATTTTAAGCCTCTAAGATTTGGAGTAGCAATAGATAACTAGAACATCCCATAAGATGACACAATTCAAATATAAAGGGGCTAATAGGTTGTAATTAAAAGATGAAAATGAATATACCATGAAAACAGTAAGCATATGAAAACTGGGATTACTACATTAATATCAGACCAAAATAGACTTCAAGACAAGGAGTCTTACCAGAGATAATGAATAATAACTTATAATAATAAAACAGCCAATTAATCAGAAAGACATTACAATTAATGAGTATATGTATCTAAATCAGCTTCAAAATACATTAAGTAAAAGCTGACAGAAATAAGGAAATAGATAATTCAGAATTATAATTAAAGATTATAATGCCCCCCAACAACTAGACGCCCCCAGATCACTAAGAATATAGAAGAACTGAACAACACAATCAACCACCTTGACATAATTGACATTTATAGAATGCTATGCCAAACAACTGCAGAATACACGTTATTTTCAAGGATACATAAAATGTTCACCAAGATAGACCATATGCCAGGCAATAAAATATGTCTCAATAAATTTGAATAGACTGAAATCATACAAAGTATGTTTTCTGACCACAAAAGATGAAATTAGAAGGGCACCTGGGTGGCTCAGTTGTTAAGTCTGCCTTCAGCTCAGGTCATGATCTCAGAGTCCTGGGATCAAGCCCCACATCGGGCTCTCTGCTCTGAGGGAAGCCTGCTTCTCCCTCTCCCACTCTCCCTGGTTGTGTTCTCTCTCTTGCTGTCTCTCTCTCTGTCAGATAAATAAATAAAATCTTAAAAAAAAAAAAAAAAAAAACGAAATTAGAAATCAATGACAATGGGAGATATTTCAAAAAGCCCCCAAATGTTTGGAAATTAAATAACACACTTCTACTAACCCATGGTCAAAGAAGAAATCAAAAGGAAAATTAGAAAATATTTTGAACTGGATGATAATGAAAATAAGGGTTTAAAATCAATTATCTAAGTTTCTCCTTTAGGAAAGTGGGAAAAGATGAGCAAATTAAATCTAGGGTAAGTAGTTTTATTTAGGAAATACTAAAGAAAATGACAAAAGCAGAAATCAATAACAGAAAAATAAAATAGAGAAAATTAACAAAGCCAACATTTGGCTCTTTGAAAAAAATTCATTGATAAAACTCTAGCTAAGCTGACCAAGAAAAAAGAAAAAACACAAATTTAAGATATCAGGAATGAAATAGGGAATATCACTGCAGATCCCATAAATATCAAAAGGATAGTAAGGACGTATTATGAACAACCATTAAGACTTTGTATTTAACAACATAAATGAAATGGAAAAATTTCTTTAAAAAGCTTATCAAAACTGATGTGCAATAAAATAGAAAATTTGAATATCTTATATCTATCCAAGAAGTTGAATTATTACAAAAATGGTGTCACTGATGAATTCCATCATATCTTAAAAATAATGATATCAATCTTTTTTTTTTAAGATTTTATTTATTTGTTTTGACAGAGAGACAGAGAAACAGCGCGAGAGGGAACACAAAGAGGGGGAGTAGGAGAGGGAGAAGCAGGCTTCCTGCTGAGCAAAGAGCCCTATCGTGGGGCTCAATCCCAGGACCCGGGGACCATGACCTGAGCTGAAGGCAGACAGTTAACGACTGAGCCACCCAGGCGCCCCTAATGATATCAATCTTAAAATAGAGGAGAAATCATTTCCAAATTCCTTTTATAAGACCAACATAACTGATGCCAAAACTTTAAAAGACATTAGATATAAAGTTACAAACTAGATACCCCTTATGAACACAGATAAAAAACTCATTAACAAAATATTAACAAATTAAATCCAGAAATAGATAGAAAGGATGCATATTATCACCAAGCAAAATTTATCCCAGGAATTCAAAGTTAGCCTGTCATTTGAAAATCAATGTAATTCAGCACATTAACAAAATAAATGAGAAAAAAAAAAACATTTAAACATCTCAATATATACAGAAAAAGCATTTGATAAAATTTAACCCACATTCATACTAAAAATTTTCAGCAAACTAACTATAGCAACTATTGTGATATAAGAAATATATATTTTGGTTTTCACCCACGGTTCTTGGCACAGAATCTTTGCAACACTTGTAATTTCTTAAGTGATAAGAGCATAAGGGCATCTTTTGTTACATATTTAATTTTTGTTCCCAGTTCCTCAAATAGCTCCAGAGCATAAAGGTGAAATGAGTGTATTTTGTTATTCAAAATACTTTTGACCACATCTGAGTTTATGTTAATGAGGCAATTTTTGGAAAGTCCTTAGATAACCACTGGATGAGGGCTGGTTGCCAGGGAACCAACCATGTGTTTAGAGGGTTGGAACTTTCAATCTCCCACACCTATCCCCACCCCCCACCTCCAGGGAGGGAAGAGGGTCTGGAGTTTAAATCATTCACCAATGGCCAATGCATTCAATCAATCATGCCTACATAATGAAGCCTCCATAAAAATTCCAAAGCATGGGGGATTGGGAGTATGTGTGTGTGGAGGGGGATTGGAGACCTCTACAAAATTCACCAGGTTGGTGAACACATGGAGGTACTGAGAGGGCAGTGTACCCAGAGAGAGCATGGAAGCTTTACACCTCTTCCCCCATACCTTTCCTTATGCATTTTTTTCCATCTGACTAATCCTGAGCTGTATCCTTTTATAATAAATGGGTAATGTAGTAAGTTTCCTGAGTTCTGTGAGCCATTTCAGTGAATTATCAAACCTGAGCAGAGGGTTGATGGGAGCTCCAATTTATAGCTGGTCAGTCAGATGCACAGATGATAACCTTGTACTTAGTAACTGACATCTGAAGTAGGGGCAGATAGTAAACAGTGTCAGAATTGAGTTAAGTTATAGGACACCCAGCTGGTATCTGAAGAATCAGAGAATTGCTAAGTGTAAGGAAAAATCCATACACATATTTGGTAATTAGAATTGTCAGAAGTGAAGTAATGAGAGTATTCTGTGGATAAACAGAACACAGAAGTATTTTTCCGGTAGAGTATCTACGAAAAATAGCTAACATCATACAAAATGGTAGTATGTTGAATACTTTCTTTGGAAGATTGGGAATAAGGCCACAATGCCCACTCTTCTTATAACATGGCTCTGGAGTTCCTAAGAGGGCAATACAACAAGGGGGAGAAAAGCATAAAGATTTGAAAGAAAGGAATATAAATAGCTTTGTCATCTCTATTTGTAGATGAATTTAATTGATTACTAAGTTAACAAGTACAATGGTTAGTTTTATGGGTCAACTTGGCTGGGAAATGGTATTCAGATATTTAGTCCAACATTATTCTGGATGTTTCTGTAAGGGTATTTTTGGGTAAAATTAACATTTAAATCAGTGGATGTTGAGGGGCAGCTGGCTGGCTCAGTTGGTAGAGCATGCAACTCTTGATCTCAGGGTCCTGAGTTCAAGTCCCACATTGGGTATAGAGCCTACTTCAAAAAATAATAAATAAATAAATTGGTGTATGTTGAGATTGCCCTCCATAATGTGGGTGGGCCTCATCCAAGCAGTTGAAGACCTGAATAGACCAAAAGACTGATCTTCCCCAAACAAGAAGGAATTCTGCCAGAAGATGGTCTTCAGACCTGACGTGCAACATTAGCTCTTCCCTGGGTCTTTATCCTGGTGGTCCAACTTGCAGATTTTGGACTTGCCAGCCTCCATAATCATGTGAGCCAATTTCTTAAAATGAATTTCTCTATATATATGTACACCTGATTGATTCTGTTTCTCTGGAGAACACTATTACAACTAAATAGAAAGATACAAGTTCAAAATATAAAAATCAATTGTACAGTTGACCCTTAAATAACATGGGTTTGAACTGTGTGGGTCCAGTTATATGCAGTACTATAAATGTATTTTCTCTTCCTTATGATTTTCTTAGTAACATTTTATTTTCTTTAACTTTCTTTATTGTAAAAAAAAGTATATAATGCATATAATATACAAAATATATGTTAATTGACTGTTTATGTTATTGGCACAGCTTCTAGTCAACAGTAGGCTATTAGTAGTTAAATTTTGGGGGAGTCATTGACCCTAACCCTTGCATTGTTCAAGGGTCAACTGTATTTCCTTTGTTTCTATATACTAGCAGAAAACAATTAGAAAATGAAATATTTAAAAATTCCATTTATAATAGCATCAAATAACATAAAATTTAGTAACTGAGTAATAAATTTAACAAAATGTATGTGAGCACTCTGTCTACATTGAAAACTAGTAAACACTGCTAAAACAAATTAAATAAGGCCTGGATAAATAAGGAGGCATTTCACATTTATGAACTGGTAGACTCAATGCTCTTAAGGTGTCAATTCTCCCAAAATTGATCTATAGATTCAATATAATCCCAATCATAATGCCAGATTTTTAAAATAGAAATTGATTCCTTGATTCTAAAAGTTATATGAAAATGCAAAGGACCTACAGTGTCTAAAACAATCTTGAAAAAGAGCAATACTGGAAGACTTAAATTATCTGACTTTATGACTTACTACATATAAAGCTACATTAATAAAGGACAGTATAGTATTGTTATAAGCATAGACAATTAAACTGAAGAGAGTCTTAAAAATAGAGTCATATATAAGGTCATTTGATTTTTGGGGCACCTGGGTGGCTCAGTTGGTTAAGCGACTGCCTTCGGCTCAGGTCATGATCCTGGAGTCCCAGGATCGAGTCCCGCATCGGGCTCCCTGCTCGGCAGGGAGTCTGCTTCTCCCTCTGACCCTCCTCCCTCTCATGCTCTCTGTCTCTCATTCTCTCTCTCTCATAAATAAATAAAATCTTTAAAAAAAAAAAAAGGTCATTTGATTTTCAAAGAAGGTCACAAGGTAATTCAATTGATAAAAATAGTCTTTTCAATAATTTAGTTCCTTGGAGGAAAAGTTGATTTCAGAGCAGGGGCAAGAATAGTAAAAGGGGCTCATAGTGGGCTAGAGTTTCAATGTGTTCCATGGGACAGGTGATTATTGTCCTTCTCCTGGCTGTGTTCCACTCTGCCTCCCGGGGCAGTAAAGCACTTCTGCTCTTTTCCCCAAGTTTCACAGAGCCTCTTGGGAAGAGAGCCCTGGGTGAGGGGTAAGTCTTTCTCCACAGGGCGCCCAGGCATGAGTTGTGAAGTGTTGTGAGGAACCAAGATAAACCTGCTCATCTCCTAAACTCTGCAGCTCTCAGGAAGCAGGGGCTGGACCAACATCTTTACATTATCCAAGGAGGTAATTCTTTAGTAGCTAACAAAGGAGACAGGAAGACTGACTTCTAATCTCAGTTTTGCCATTAAATGTTATCTTAAGGCCACAGTGATGCAGCCCAATCCAATTCCAAATGCTTTGAGAAGAATGTGCATCATTATGGAAAGCTTTTGTTTGAGAGGCAGAGGGCACTTACACCTCAGAACACATAGGAATACTCTTTAAACTCCTCTTTGTCTACTACACTCAGACCTCCTTTCTTCCCCCTCCCCTCAGACTCCTAGAGCTCTGGGCTGTGGCTCTCTCCTCACTTGCCTTACCTCCAGGGCCTGTTTGGGGGCTCTGTGTTTTTTCCCAGGTGGAGTGATCCAGCCTCCTTTAGTTCCTATCATTTCACCTCCAGGCCCAGCAGTGGTGAAAGGTCCAGTAGTAACAAGCAAAATCAAGTTGGTAAGGAGAGAAAACACTTTGAATTTAATATACATACGTATATATTTTAATCCTGGCACATACACACATAACGCTGAGCAAGTCATTTTCTTCCCTGGCCCGAGAATCTTTGCCCTCCCCTTCTTCTTCTCCTCGTGCCCTCCTCTCTCCCCTTTTCAGGTCACTTTATGTGAAGGCCCCACCACCTCCACTTAATACCTCACTCCAAATCAAGAACTCCTGCCATAGCAATGCTGGGCCCTTCTTCCCCTAAGAAGGAGATATGGTCTTCTGAGAATAATTTCTATCCTTGAGAACACCAGTCAGCACTTTATACAATTCAGGGGGAGAAAACAGAAATGACAAACACTTCAGAAATCACTCATATTAAATATGCCCTTAACAGCATAAATTTTTTCTCAGCTGGCCTTAAGCCTAACCTTATTCTCAGTCTCCATGGAAAGTCTGGCCTTCACACTTTCTCTATTTGTCACAATAAAAGGCAAAGGATTTCTCTAAAATTTCCAATATACAGGTTTTTCTGAGACCCACTCAGTCCCTGAAGGTTTGTTTTTTGTTTTGTTTTTTAAAAGCATGGGCTAATGGGACACCTGGCTGGCTCAGTCAGTGGAGCGTGCCACTCTTGATCTCGGGGTTGTGGGTTCAAGCCCCATGTTGGGTGTAGAGATTACTTAAAAATTAAAAAAAAAACACTTTATAATAAAAATTTTTTAAAAATAAAAAAAAAAAAAACCTGGGCTGATGACCAAAACTTAGGGGGATGAGGGGCAGAGGGACAGGAAGCAGAGGACTCTGTCACAAACAGTTCTTTTTAGTTATGCATATGTTGGAAACCTCTTTGTTTACAAAAAGCAGGCCCTAGTCAATTTATGCCCTTTCTGTTTAGAAGTAACAGCCCAACTTATTTGGCACAGGAGTCCTTGGTCTCTCACAATTAGGCCATGCTGTTCATAGCTTTGGCAACTTTCAACAAGATTCCCACTTCACTGTTAAATACCTGTTCTTACCTTGGAGCTTTTCAAGCTGGTAAAATTGTCTGAGGTTCGTTAAGGGTGTGTTAGAGGCATCCCTGCATTTACAGGTCAACAAATTGAGTTAGCACGAATTTGAGCCCCATACAGTTGCTGAGCAGACCTAACGAACATTTCCTTCACAAAGGAAAAAAAAAAATCAATTATTTTCACATCATTTACTATTTACTTTGTAAAGTATCTCCGCAAATCACCAAATTGCCAAAATGTTTTTAAACCCGGACAAGGGCTTGGAATTTTAAATAAGGTGGTCAAAGAAGGCCTTGCAGAAAAGGTAACATTTGAGTAAAGACTTGAAGGAAGTGAGAAAGAGAGCCATGTAGGAATCCTGGGGGAAAGCATCCAAAGCAAAAGGAACAGCAATGTACAGGTGTGAGATAGGAACGTGCGTGGGGTGTTCAAAAAGCCACAAAGTGGCCAGAATGCTGGAGTGGAAAAGGAGGCAGACAGATGTTGGGGATGGAGGATAGAGGCAGATCACATAAAGAGTTATTGTAAATTAGTTTCCCTTGACATTTGCTTAAAGTAAGATTGGAAGTCACTGGAGGATTTTAAACAGAAAAAATGGTGTCATATGACTTGTGTTTTAATAGCATCACATGAATGCTATGTTGCAAATAGGCTGAAAGAGGTCAAGAGTAGAGAAAAGTTAGAAGCCTGTTGTGATAAACCAGGTGAAAAATGATGGTGATTTTGATCAGGATAGAAACAATTAAGAGAGGGTTAAATTCTGGATGAATTTTTTGCCTAACTTTTTTAAGAGGTAATTTATATAGAATGAAATATATCCATTTAAGTGTGCATTTCTATATATTTTGACCATTTTGTGTAACCACTACCACAATCAAGATACAGGAATTTTATCACCCAAAAAAAGTTTCCTTGTGTCCCTTTGAAGTCAAAGTGTCCCACCTCCAACCCAAGCAACCACCAACCTGCCTTCAGTCACTATATGTTAGATTTGTATTTTCTATAGTTTCATATAAACTGGAACAATACCTTATTTTCTTTTTTGTGTCTGGCTTCTTTCACTCAGCTTGTTTTTGAAGTTTACTTGTGTTTATGCATGTATCAGTAGTTCACTCTTTTTTATCGCTGAGCATTATTCCATTGTTTGGATAAACCCCAGTTTATTCAATACTGTTATTTCCAGCTTTGGTTTATAATGCATAAAGCTGCTATACATACTTATGTACAAGCCTTTGTGTGGATATAGGTTTTTCTCTTGAAATACCCAGGGATGTGATTGTCACGTTAAGTAAGGATATACTTAATTTTTAAAAAAGATTTTATTTATTTATTTGAGAGGGAGAGAATGAGAGCATTAGAAGGGGGAGGGTCAGAGGGAGAAGCAGACTCCCTGCTGAGCAGGGAGCCCGATGCGGGACTTGATCCTGGGACTCCAGGATCATGACCTGAGCCGAAGGCACTTTCTTAACCAACTGAGCCACCCAGGCGCCCAGCATATATTTAATTTTATAAGAAACTACCAAAATGTTTTCCAAAGTGTTTGTATCATTTTACATTCTCACCAACAGTGAGAGTTTCGGTTGCTCTTGGCCAACATTTATTGCCAGTCTTTAATTTTAGCCATTTTGATGAATGTATAGTATGTGTGGTTTGGAAACATTTGCTGAACAAATTCTTTGACACTCCCTCCCATCAAAAGGTGGAGTCTTATTCCCATCTCCTTGAATGCGGCTGGATTTAGTGACTCCCTTTTCATCTCTTATTTTGTAATTTATTTATGGAAATATAGTTCACATACATAAAATTCACCATTTTAAAGTTTACAATTCAGTGGATTTTAGTATACTCACAGTAATTCGAGAACATTTCTGTCACATCTAAAAGAACCTCCATATCTATTAGCAGTCACTCCCATTTCCCGTTCTTCCTTCTGCACAGCCCCTCCCCTCAATTCCCTGGCAGCCACCAATCTACTTTCTGTCTCTATGGATTTGGCTATTCTGCAGATTTGCCTATTCTGCAGACTTCATACAGGGAATCATGCAATATTTGGCCTTTTATGTCTGGCTTCTTTCATTAGCATCATATTTTCAAGATCTATCCACGTTTAAGCATGTGTTAGTATTTCCTTTGTTCTTATGGGTATTATTTTATTGTACAGATATACCACATTTTGTTTATCCATTCATCAGTTGGTGGATATTTGGGTTGCTTCTACGTTTTGGCTATTATGAATAGTGCTACTATAAAAATTAATGTGCAAATTTTTGTGTGAACATGTTTTCAATTCTTCATTTTTGAGCAACTGCCAAACTGTTTTCCAAAGTGGCCATACCATTTTACAATCCCACCAGTGATATATAAAGGTTCCGACTTCTCCACATCCTTACCAACACATTTTATGGTCTTTTATTACAGCCATCTTAGTGGGTGTGAAGTGGTATCTCACTGTGGTTTTGGTTTGCATTTCCCTAATGACTGATGATGTTGAGCATGTTTTAATGTGCTTATTGGCCATTTAAAAATCTTTGGAGAAATATCTACTCAAATTTTTTGCCTGTTTCTAAATTGGGTTATTATTGAAGTGTAAGAGAACTTTATATATTTTGGATACTAGATCCTTATGAGATACATGATTTGCAACCATTTTCTCCCACTCTGTAGGTTGTCTTTTCACTTTCTTGATAGTGTCCTTTGATTCAAAAGCTTTTAATTCATTGAAGTCCAATTTATGTTTTTTCTCTTGTTGCTTATGTTTTGTTATGTCTAAGAAACTGTTGCCTAATCCAGTGTCACCAAGATTTATACCTGTGTTTTTTCTAAGATTTTTTTGGTTTAGCTCTGAAAACATTTCGGTTGTTGATCCATTTTGAGTTAATTTTTGTATATGGTGTGAGGCGGTGGTCTAAATTCATTCTTTTGCATGAAGATACCTAATTGTCCCACTACCATTTGTTGAAAAGACTATTCTTTCCCCCATTGAATGGTCTTGGCATGCATGTCAAGGGTTTAAGGTTTTCCAAATGTATAAGATCATGCCGTCTGCAAAGAGAGATCATTTTGCTTCCTTTTCCCCCCAATATGAATATCTTTATTTTTCTTCACTAATTGCTCCAGCTAAAACCTCCACTACAATGTTGAATAGAAGTTTTGAGAGCAAGTAAACATCCTTGTCTTTTTTCTGATCTTAAGGGCAAAACTTTCAGTCTTTTCTGCATATATTTACTGTATGATGATAGCTGTGGATTTTTCATAGACGTCTTTTATCAGATTGAGGAAGTTTTCTTATATTCCTTGTTTGTTGAATGTTTTTTATCATAAAAGGACTTTTTTTTTTTTAGCTTTACTGAGGTATAATCATCACACAAAAACTGTATATATTCAAAGTGTATAATTTGATGTTTTGATGTAGGTACACACTGTTAAATTATCACCACAATCAAACTAATTAGCATATTATTCCCCCTATCTAGTTGCCATTTGTGTGTGTGTGTGTGTGTGGTGAGAACATCTAAGATTTACTATATTAGCAAATTTCAAGTATACAATACAGTATTATTGACTGTAGTCACCATGCTATACATTAGAACTTTAGAACTCATTCATCTTAAATAACTGAAACTGTACCAACATTTCCCCATTTCCCCCACCTCCCCACTATGCTACCCTCAGGCAACCATCGTTCTATTCTCTGCTTCTATGAGTTTTAGATTTCACATATAAGAGATCATGCTGTATTTATCTTTCTGTGTCTGGCTTATTTCACTTGACATAACGTCCTCCAGGTTCATCTATGTTGTTGCAAATGGCAGGATTTCCTCTTTTTATTTTAAGGCTGAATAATATTCTAGTGTGTGTGTGACATTTTCTTTAACCATTTATCTGTTGACACTTATGTTTCCATATCATGGCAATTGTGAATAATGCTGCAATGAACATGGAATTGCTGATATCTTTGTGATACTGATTTCATTTCCTTTGGATATATACCCAGAAGATGAGTTGCTGAATCTATATGGTAGATCTATTTTTTAATTTTTTAAAAAAAGATTTTATTTATTTGACAGAGAGAGAGACACACAGAGAGGGAAACACAAGCAGGGGGAGAGGGAGAAGCAGGCTCCCCACTGAGCAGGGAGCCCGATGCAGGGCTCGATCCCAGAACCCTGGGATCATGACCTGAGCCGAAGGCAGAAGCTTAACGACTGAGCCACCCAGGTGCCCCTATTTTTTAATTTTTAAAGGAACATCCATATCGTTTTCCATAATGGCTATACCAATTTACACTCCCACCAACAGTATACAAGGATTCCCTTTTCTCCACATCTTCACCAACATTTGTTATCTCTTGTCTTTTTGGTAACAGCCATTCTAATCTCAGTGTGGTTTTGATTTGCACTTCCTGCTGATCAGGGATGTTGAGCATCTTTTCATGTACCTTTGGGCCATTTATATGTTCGTATGTCTTCTGAGACATATCTATTCAGGTCCTTTGCCCATCTTAAAAACAATATTTTGTTTTTGTTTCCCACGAAGTTATATAAGTTCCTCACTGAACCCTTATCAGATACATGGTTTGCAAATACTTTCTCCTACTCTACAGGCTGCTTTTTCACTCTGTTGTATCCTTTGCTCTGCAGCATTTTAGTTAGATGCAATCCCACTTACCTATTTTTGCTTTTGTTGCCATTGTTTTTGGTGTTTTATAGCCAAGATCAATGGCAAAAAGCATTTTACCTAGGTTATCTTTTTTTTTTTTTATAGTTTCAGGCCTTAAAGACTTTAATCCATTGAGTTGATTTTTGTATATGGTGTGAGATGTCCAATTCCATTCTTCTGCATGTGGATATTGTTTTTTTTTTCAACACCATTTATTGAAGAGACCTTCCTTTCCCCATTGTGCATACTTGGCACCCTTGTTGAAGACTAGTTGACCATAAATGTGTGGACTTATTTCTGGGCTCTCTATTCTCTTCCCGTGGCCTATATGTCTGTTTTTATGCCAATACCAAACTGTTCTGATTACTGTAGCTTGTAATATATTATGAAATCCGGGGGTATGATACCTCCAACTTTGTTCTTCTTGCTTTTTCTGCATCTACTGAGATGATTTGGGTTTTACCTTTCATTCTGTTTATGTGCTGTATCACATTTATTGGTTTGTTAAGTTGAGCCATCCTCATATCCCAGGGATAAATCCCCCTTGATCATGGTGTGTGATCCTTTTAATGTGCTACTGAATTCAATTTGCTAGATTTTGTTATTTTTGCATCTATATTCATTAGAGGTATTGACCTATAATTTTCTTTTCTTGTGGTGTTTTTGTCTGGCTTTGATATCACTGTGATGATGGCTTCATAAAATGAGTTTGGAATGGTTCTTTCTTCTATTTTTTGTTAAGAGTTTAAAAAAAATTGGTATTAATTCTTTGAATGTTTGTTAGAATTCACCTGTAAAGCTCCTGGGGTTTTCTTCTGTGGTAGGTTTTTGATTACTGGTTCAATCTCCATATTTGTTATTTGTCGTTCAGGCTATTTTTTCTTGACCCAGGCTTGATAGGTTGTATATTTCTAAGAATTTATCCATTGTTTCTAGGATATCCAACTTACTGACGTATGTTTATAATAATCTTTTTTTACTTCTGAGACCTCCACTGTGATGTCTTCTCCTTTCACTTCTGATTTTACTTGAGTCTTCTTTTTTTCTTACTCTAGCTAAGGGTTAATCTTTTTTCATCCCTTCACTTTAAGCTTATGTGTGTCCTAAAGTGAGTTTCTTGTAAACAACATATAGTTGATCCAGGTTTTCTATCCAGTCACTCTGTCTTTTGGTTGGAAGTTTAATCCATTTACATTTAATTATTGATAGAGAAGGACTTTTGCCATTTTGTTAAACATTCTGTCTTGTAGTTCTTTTATCCTTTTTTTTTCTATTGTCTTCGTGTTCTTTTTGAATTGATAGACTTTGATTTTTTGTGTAACTTCTATAGGTATCTTCTTCATAGTTACCCTGGGATTTACATGAAATACATTTAAAATAGTCTATTTTAAGCTTATTACTTCACTTGCATATAAAAACTTTTACCTCTCCTCCCCCCAGTATATATTCTTATTGTCACAATTTACATATATTTATATTATATAGAAGGATGTTGGGATTTTGCCAAATGCTCTTTTCTGCACCTATTGAAATGATGCCCCCCCCCCTTATTCTATTAATAGGGTGTAATACATAGATTTTCAAATTTTGAAACAACTTTCCATTCCTGGGATAAATTCTGGTTGGTAATACTTTTCTGTGCTGCTGGATTAGTTTTGCAAGTATTTTGTTGATTTTTGCATCTATATTCATAAGAGATTTAGTCTATAGTTTTCCTTTCCTTGATGTCTTTGGTCTTGGTTTCAGGGTAACACTGGGCTATTAGATTGAGTTATGACATGTTCTCTATTTTATTTTTTGGAAGAGTTTTGAGGATTGACGTTAGTTGTTCTTTAAATGTTTGGAAGAATTCACCAGTGAAGCTATCTAGTCCTGGGCTTTTCTGTATTGGAAGTTTTTTTTAAAATTACTAACTCAATCTCTTTTCTTGTATAGTTCTATTTCTTTTGAATCAGTTTTGGTTGTTTGTGTTCCTAGGAATTTATCCATTTCATCTAGTTATCTAATTGGTTGGCATATAATTGCTAGTATCCCCCCCCATAATTCTTTTTTCTGTAAAGTGAGTAGTAATGTCCTTTCATTTCTGATTTTAGTAATTTGAGCCTTTTTTCTTGATCTATGTAGAGTTTTGTCAAGTTTGCTGACTTTTGTCAAGGATCTTTTAGTTATGTTGATTTTTTCTATTGTATTTTTATCATCTATTATTTCCTTCCTTATGCCTGTTTTGGGTTTAGTTTCCTTTTTCTAGTTTCTTTAATTTTTAAAATTTTATTTATTTGACAAGCAGGGGGAGTGGCAGAGGCAGAAGCAGACTCCTCACTGAGGAGGGAGCTTGATGTGGGGCTCGATTCCAGGACGCTAAGATCATGACCTGAGTGAAAGGTAGATGTTTAACTGATGGAACCACCTAGGGGCCTCTCTTTCTAGTTTAAGATAGGTTAGGTTATTGACTTGAGATCTTTCTTCTTTTATAATGTAAGCTGTAAGCATGGACACCTTTATGTTTGCCCCCCCCCCATATATACACATAAACTTTACACCCAACATGGGGCTTGAATTCATGACCGTGCGATCAAGAGTCACATGTTCTGACTGAGCCAGCTAGGTGCCCCTATATACTAACCTCTTACTACTTACTGCTTTTGTTGCATCCTTTAAATTTTTTTATAATGTGATTTCATTTGTTTATCTCAAAGTATTTTATTTCCCTTACAATTTTGTTTGACCCATTGGTTATTTAGAAATGTGTTTATTTCTGCATTTGTGAATTTCCCAATTTTCCTTCTATTACTGATTTCTCTTGAATTTTTCATCCTTCTAGCTCAAATCTGTTGAGCCATCCAAGTGCATTTTTAATTTCAGTTATTATACTCTCCAACTTCAAAATTTCCATTTGTTTACTTATCATTTCTATGTATTAATAGTCTCTATTTGTGAGACATCATTCTGATATTTTCTTGAGTTATCTAAATGGGATTTCCTTTGAACACATTTATTATTTTTAAAAAAGATTTTATTTGACAGAGAGAGAGAGAGAGAGCAGCAGAGGGAGACAAGAAGCAGACTCTCCACTGAGCAGAAAGCCTGATGCGGGACTTGACCCCAGGACCCTGGGATCATGACCTGAGCTGAAGGCAGACACTTAACTGAGTCACCCGGCGCCCCTCCTTTGAACATATTTAAAGTAGTTGATTTGAGGTTTTTGTCTACAAAGTCCAATACCTGGGCTATTTCTAGACACTATTAGTTAAAAAAAAATTTTTTTTGAGGAGTCATACTTTGTTTCATAGTATGCCTCATTGTTTTTAGAAAACTGGATATATTGACTATTATAATGTGGCAAGTCTGGAAATTAGTTTCTCTCTCTCCCCCCTTAGGGACTCTTGTTTAGTGACTTTTCTGAACGAATCCCATAAAACTGTATCATTTCCTATGTGTGGCCACTGCAGTTTCTGCTTGGCTGGCTTAGTGGTCAGCTAATAATTGTATAGAGACTTCCTTAAATGCCTGGAACCCATAGAATATTGGCTTTTGCCAAGGGGCTTTGAATGTGTGTTGAGGCATACTTACAGCACACAATCAGGCAGTTTACAACTCTGTGTTCACTTTCTTTCTGCTTGTGCAGAGCCTCAAAGTCAGCCAGAAGTGATAGCTTAGGGAGCTTCTTGGGTCTTCTTGCGCATGCACACAACGCTGTGCATTTGTGTGGCCTTCTAGATTTCCATGTCAAGAGCTTTTCTAAGCCCTTATGGACACTGCATTCCCCAGTCTTTTCCATCAAGATACTGTTTGCCCCAACATAACCCCTCGCAGCAGCAACTAAAATGTCTCCTTGTAAATATCTCAACAAATACCATCTGTATAGCATCTCTAGCACTGGATGAGTTTTGAGTCAGGTAATATATGTAAAACTTCTGTTTTTCCACAAAGCCACCAGACAGTTCCCATAATGACAATTCTTTGTGAATAGAGTCCACTCTGCTCCCGAAGGTACCTAGAATGTGGGCTGTTATTTTCAGGCTACTGCTAAGCTGCAGAGTAAGAAAAGGTGATGCTGTTCCCATCCAGCTTTTTCTTGAGACACTTATTTTTGGAATGAGTGATAAATGGTGATAATCACCATTTTGGAAGAATGCCCAGAACATATGGAGGGGCCACATGATGATGTTCAAGACAACAGCCCAGCTGAAGTCCAAGCTGACAGCTAGTATTAACCACCAGACATATGAGTGAATGAGTTTTCAACAGATTTGTCATTGAGCAGCCCTAGTTAACAGTAAGTAGGAGAGGGCTGAGTATTCCCCTACTGAGCCCTGCTCAAATTGTAGTTTCAAGGCTAAAAACAATGTTACTGTTTTATCATTTAATAAAAATTGTATATATTTAAGGTGTACAACTTGGTGTTTTGACATACATATACATAGTGACATGATTACAAGAGTCAAGCGAATTAACATATCCATCTCTCTATATAGTTACCTTTTTTTTTTCATGGTCAGAGCACCTGAAATCTATTTTCTGAGCGAATTTCCAGTATTCTATACAGTATTACTAGCTATAGCCATCACATTGTACATTAGCTTTCCAGACTTATTGATCCTATAGGACTGCAATTTTGTACCCTTTAACCAACATCTCCCTATTTTCCCCACTTGGTAACCACCAATCCACTTTCTACTTCTATGTATCCAACCTTCTTTAGGCTCCGCATGTAATAAGATCATGCAGTATTTTTCTTTCTGTGTCTGGCTTATTTCGCTTGGCATAATGTCCTCCAGGTTCATCCGTCTTGCTGCAAATGGCAGGATCTCCTTTTTAAGGTTAGATGATATTCCATTATATATACATATATATATAAAGTATTTTATATACATACAAAAATGTATATATTAACATATATACATATATATTAAGATCTGTTAGCAAACACAAAAAGCTGATCTCAAATGACCCAGAAACCATGGATGAGAAGTGGCAGGAATAACACGCCCAGTGGTTCTCTTCAGAGTCCACATCCCACTTGTGCCCAGGGGATGGGTCAGGGCAAGGCTGACACAACCAGGCCCAAATGCTTGCTTGAAGACCCCCATTGACTCTCCTGCTATAGGGTGGTGGAGGATCTGTGAACAGCAACACAGGTCAAAGTTACATTATGGATGGGAGACTCCAAAGCTGAGGAAATTTTGCATGGTCACTGCAGAAAGACTGGCTAATACTCACCAGCATGTGACTGTTGTTGATCTTTTCTAAAGTTGCCATCCTCCAGATTCTTAAAAATTGAAAAACACTGCTTGGTGTTACATTCCTCTGGAGCTGACAGAAAACGTCTGCTTAACTAGCTTACTTTCTTCCCCAAAAAACCCCTGCAAACATGTAGTTTTCTCAAATCTTCCCCAAGTATATGGAGAGTATTTTGGATTAAAAGTCCATAGGTATTTGAAGTTAAGGAGTTGACTACAGCATTTAAAAAAAAACTTCTTCTGGATTATTGTTTTTCTAGTTCCCTACTATTAGAAGCAATGGGATAATTTAGTGTGCTTTTCTATGTATTTTACAAATTTACCTTGTTTCCAATAATTTGTAGTTTTATTAGGTTGAACTACACCCACGACCATTTTTGTAGGTCAAAAATGGCTGAATATCAGCAATTTCACATGGTTCCACCTAATTATATTGTGAATAAGAATTAAATAAATGGATTGGTACATGGTGGAAAAACCCAATTTACTTCTGTATTTCTAATTACCTTCTGATGCTTTCCCCCGGCCCACCCCAACTTAATATTTAATTTATTAAGATCTCCCTCATGATCAGGAGGACCTCTGTATGTTTTTTTCATTTCTTCCTTAGGCACAAATTGTGATGTTGTGTTAGTGTTGTCTTAGTGTATTGACTAAAGTTTGCTTTCCTCTTCATCCTTCTTCCTGTCCTCTTCTACTCTGTCACTGTCAGTGACATGTTATGTCAGCCCTGTAAGAACCAGCCAATGAATCTGATTCGTTAGCCAATAGCAATGCAGAATAGCTGTGCTAACTCACAGTAATTAAGATTGGGATCACACTATCATTAACTGTTACTGTCAGGAAAAAAATTCAGTGAAGAAGTAAATCTTGAGAATGACCTTAGATGTGTGGTATATAAAATTCACTGACTTACTGATGTATTCATCAACTGTGATTATTATTTACATTAAACAATTAGCCAAAAAAAGAAACAACAAAACAATCGAACAACAAAAATTTTATTAGGACCATGGTGATGACCTATTTGAATTTAAATTCTTTCCCAGTGATAAGAGAAAATAAAAATTTCATATAGTCTAAACATGTGTCAGCATTTCTACACCCTGCCCAGCTTAAGTCAAATACTAATGGACTGGTCTTAATTCATTTTGACAGACTCCACAATGGCTCACCATAGAAAGCACCTATCACCTACTTGTTGAATAAATACATATTAATTATTAGCAGGGGCTCTGAAACTGGACAGTGACACTTCATGTTACCAATGTTACTCACTGTTGTGTAGTGGGGAGGACATCCATGTGAAAGTTCCCTGTAAATAGCAATATAAGTGTTTTCCTGAACATTATCAGTTTAGAATGAATATTAACCATACCATGATTGGAATGATTGTGTTCTGAGAATCCATTTACTTTCTCTCTGAAGGTTTAGGAGGGTTTTTGCCAAATGATTTTGTCTTTTAAATACAAAGAGCAGGCATTCTTAAGTAAATATTAAAGCAACTAGATTTTCCAGTCCCTACCCAAGAATTGTTTTATGGTCAGGAGCCCGAGGCATTTGGGAATTCTGGCACTGGGGAAGTTAGTGTCATTTTATTTTACAAAGAGTCTTTTACAGAGAGACTGAAGATATGAGATAAAATGTATCCTGGGGTTACAAAAATATGTGCAGGTCTGGGAATGAAGAAAGGAGGTAGTGGCCATAAACTGATATGTTAATGTCATAGTTCTGGTTCGAAAAATAAGCAAATAGAGAAATTCTGAACTGCTATGAAATGTGTTTCCAGCCAGGCTTTAACTGAACGGTAAACACTATTTCTCAGTGCATTAACCGTCTTTTTAACACCAAAAATACTAAAATCCACCAAAAATACCATAAACATGCCTCCAAACGATTTTCCCATTCTGAAGGTTGTGCTTACTGCTTCTAAGAACCAGTTCAGTTGACCTATAAGCATTTCATTTGCTGTTTATAGTAATATCACCCAGTTTGCTGGGTGATACTACTACAAAGACCAGTATCATGGGGGAACCTTCTGTTATATAATAAAGTCTTCAGTAGGATTTAAAAATCACAGCTCTCAAAGAAGCCATGTGTTTGTTAGGCGTGCTTTTAGACCATTTGCCACAAGGTGAGAGTAAGAAGTTCCACTTCATAATGACAATGGTGGCTGTCACTGAATAACAGAGTGAGGTTTCTGAACTTTGGTGTTTTATTGTATACCTGACATAGGACCCCTCATGTGCAAGAGGCAACTGTGCACCTCTTCCCAACTCTGCTTCAGTGATCTCATTTTGGTAGCTTGCAACTGGCCGTGGTGGGGGTATCTACATCACAGAAATTGGCAAATGCTACAAATCAGACACCTGCTTATCACCCCCACTTCCACTCCTCCACCCTCAGCAACACACACTCCTTGCCTGGAAAACCAGGTATTAAAACATTTACCAGGACGCCACTGCACAGAACTCTATCTTCTTGAACATATTATTCTTACACTGAAATCTATGATTTTACAGATACAAGAGAATGTGGCTTTTAACAGGCTGTTTGGATGAAGTTGAAAAATTCCATGCTAAAATGCTATCGGTATCTTCCTGTATCTATACCAGCATAAACAGACAGTTCAATCTCGGTCAAGCATCCTAGTTCTCAGAATTCTAGTTCCCCAGGATCCAAGCCCTCAGTGTAATAGATGTGGCATTCACCTAATACCCTAGGGTTCTCAGAGCCTCTAAGACAGCCTGAATCTTCTGGAAGTCAAACACTATACTATGAAAAACACTGACAGTGTGATAAAAAAATATTCCACTGATGCCAAATGTCTGTTTGAAAATTTTCTCCAGGAAACGGCTGTTCCAGAAACTGTATACATAGATCATAGATGCCAATGAGAATCAGACTCAATTCAAAACTATGTAAAATGACAATGCTAAAAACGAAGACTTCTTTGCTTTCCAAAAGCAGAACATTTCCAGGGAGTTTAATTAGCTAAATGTTGTCATTATGTTGATCTGTACATGTCTCTCTCATTTTTTTAATTAAAAAAAATTTTTTTAAAGATTTTATTTGACAGAGAGAGAGAGAGAGAGAGAGCTCACAAGCAGGGGGAGCGGCAGGCAGAGGGAGAGGGAGAAGCAGACTTCCTGCTGAGCAGAGAGCCTGATGCGGGATTTGATCCCAGGACCCAGGGATCATGACCTGAGCTGAAGGCAGTTGCTTAATCAACTGAGCCACCCAGGCAACCCCCCCCTCTCTTTTTTGTGGTTATGTATTTCCATGCTTCTCTCTTGTGTTACTGGGTGTTTGGGCTAATTACTCCCCAACTCAAAGATTTTCTAATTCCCTTTTTTTTTTAAAGATTATTTATTTATTTGACAGAGAGAGAGACATAGCCAGAGAGGGAACACAAACAGGGGGAGTGGGAAAGGGAGAAGCCGGCTTCCCGTGGAGCAGGGAGCCCGATGCGGGGCTTGATCCCAGGACCCCGGGATCATGACCTGAGCTGAAGGCAGATGCTTAACAACTGAGCCACCCAGGTGCCCCAAAGACTTTCTAATTCTTGTGTAATCATTCACATCTCTTATTGCAGGGCTACCTATGTATGTCACAGAGAGACTAAAGTGTTTTGAGAGATAGCAAGACTTTTTAAAAGACTTCCATAGAATAAAATTCACTCAGCAATGCACTTCAATTCACAATATTCTTTCTCATTCTTGCCCAAATCCTTCACACTAAAGAGTATGCCCATTTCTTATTTTTTGGAACTCAGGGGAGAAAGAGAACAGCTGGTCCACATCTTCCATATAATGGCCCTTAATATTCACGTGGAGCATGCATTCAAGACAGAAGCTTAGGGACTGGTATTAGACTGGCTGAATAGGCTCTATTCTTAAAAAACATTAAAACTGCTATTATCTAGCCTACTGTTTTATTTTTATTTTTTTTAAGATTTTATTTATTTGAGAGAGAGGGGGGGTGAGCAAGAGAGAGAGAAGGAGCAGGAGAAGGGGCAAAGGGAGAAGGAGAGGCAGACTCCCAGCTGAGCAGGGAGCCCGACATGAGGCTTGATCCCAGGACTCTGTGATCATGACCTGAGCTGAAGGCAGATGCTTAACTGATTGAGCCACCCAGGCACCCCAGCTTTTATTTTTAAATAAATTTATAAATTAAGATTTCTTCCCCCTAGGGCACCTGGGTGGCTCAGTTGGTTAAGCGACTGCCTTCGGCTCAGGTCATGATCCTGGAGTCCCGGGATCGAGTCCCGCATCGGGCTACCTGCTCAGCAGGGAGTCTGCTTCTCCCTCTCCCGCTCCCCCCTCTTGTGCTCTTTCTCTCTCTCAAATAAATAAATAAAATCTTTAAAAAAAAAAAAAGATTTCTTCCCCCTATACTAATTTCAGCAGTTTTACAGGATAGCAAGTCCACTTACTGGGCATCTGACAATCTCAGCATTATGATGCTCTCTTGTCTTCATTCACTTCACTACCCTTCATGATAGTGACTCCACTATCATTTGGCTCCATAATAATTCAGGCCAATTCTTTAAACTTGAGAAAATGTTATCAATCCTGTAGCCCTAAAGAAGTCCAGGTTAACTAGCTTTCCCCAGAATTTCATATTATTTCTTACCTTATTAGTCAGTGACATGCTCCATTTTTACTTTCTTTCTTTTTTAAAAATATTTATTTATTTTAGGGGGGCAGGGAGAGAGAATCCTAAGCAGACTACACGCTGAGCCTGGAGCTTGACGTGGGCTTGAACCCATGACCCTGAGATCACGACCTGAGCTGAAACCAAGAGTTGGTCCCTTAACTGACTGTACCACCCAGGCACCCTTTACTCTCCTTTCTAATTAACAGTTTACATGAAATTTAGCATTAGCACTTAATGAATATTTCTTCCATCTCATATCATTTTAAACTTTTAAAAAAGTTTTTATTTAAATTCCAGTTAATTGGGGTGTCTGGGTGATTCAGTTGGTTAAGCGTCTGCCTTTGGCTTGGGTCATGATCCCAGGGTCCTGGGATCGAGCCCCCACATAGGGCTCCCTGCTCAGCGGGGAGCCTGCTTCTCCCTCTGCCCCTCCCCCTATTCCTGTCTCTCTTGCTCTCTCTCAAATAAATAAAATCTTTAAAAACAATAAATTCTAGTTAATTTCTATAGTGTAATATTAGTTTCAGGTGTACAATATAGGGATTCAACACTTCCATACCTTTTCTTCTCATCTTTAAAGAGATTATTTTTCCTTCCTCCTTGAGTTTGCTGTGTCTAAAGAATATTTCTGTTTCCTTTTACTTTTATTGTGGCTCAGTTCTTGCATAAGGTTTTCCAACAAAGCATTATAGTTTTATATAACTTGAAGAAAAATGGTTATTTTAAATTTTATCCCTATTTCCACAAACTGCCCCTTCTTTAGCATTTATATTTATCGGCCAGGGTACCCCAGACCATCAAAAAGTCTTCAGGATTAACTTGGGATCTGTAGATTTGGGGTGCTTTTCAAATAATTGAGAAGAGGCTATAAAATAGTATCCTTCCTTCCCAAAAGCTAATAAAATATTTAACCTTCTAAGGAATGCCAAACATGTACTAAAAGGAAAAATACTTTCCATTTAGGCAAATCATAATATTCCTTCTCAAGTGTAAAATAATTCTAAAGTAATACAGAGTAAAAGCAGCCCAGCAGACTCTATCTTAGAGACAGGAAATACTGGATATGATTGCTTTTACTCTGGAACACATCTGAAATCACAGTTTAAGGTATAAACTAAAAAAAAACAGAACCTCAAGAGAAATTTCTCTTGAGTATAGCTCTCATCTGGCACACTTCCCTGAAGGTTGTGACAGAGAATAGAAACTCTAGGAACTCTGCTCCAACTCTTCTGTTTGGAAGGTCAAACTGTCTAGTCACAAACAGTTTAGTTCTTTTCTACCTCTTTATGTGTTTTTTTAACCACATAAAGAATGAATTTTTAAATTTAAAGCACATCTAATTTGCTTCTCAATTTAAGCTGAAATTTACAATATTTCTTGAAATTATGGCTGTGACAATGAAAACAAGACCACTGAATGTTTATAGGCCTCCCCAGAAGACTGTTGTTTTAGTAATTTCCACAACAGTCTACAGAATATAAAATTAGAGTTATTTTCAGCCTTTGTTATGAGAAGAGGATGTGCTCATGTTTAAGCAAATTTGGTGCATCCCACTGGGTTATGTGTCATTCAGTGAGACGTGCTCCCTGAGTTAGGGGCCAGATGGTGGATGCAGAAGTCTTTTGCTAGAATACATCTCTATAGAGGATGATATCGCATTGGACTTGGTGACCAGGCTAACACTGAATGCAACTCAGTCACGGTATTTAAATCACATTAAGACTCTCTTTTATTTATGGCTCTCCTTGTGATTTTGTCTGGCTTTATGTCTAATTGTTAGCCTCCATGTGGCAATATGATGTGCCATCAGTTCTGCCTTTTCTTCGCCAAAATGAACTGTGCAACCCTCTCTGAGGTAGAGAGGTTCTGGAAAAAAAAATTTTGTTACATAAACCTACTCCAATTAAACAGTAACTTAATTATAAAAGGACACCTTATTCTATATAATGTTTTTCATATTCTTGATACTGTTCAGTCTATTTTATTAGCATTAGCACAGACACTTGCTGTTGTAATTACAGAATTTTAGAGGCAGGACAAGAGATCATATAGTCCACTTCCCACTGATAAGAAAACTAATATGAATTCAGTCTTATGTTTGACTAAGGTAGGGAACAACCCAGACCTAAAAATCAAGTTACAATATTTGCTTTAGTATTCTTTCCACTACTCCCAACTTCCTTCCCCTAATAGCCACTAATCTTCAAAATGCTTTTATCATCGTCCCCGTCTTTGTCCACCTTCTCCTCCTCCTCATTTCACCATCATCAACTGACCATAGTGAGAAATACTACCCATTTTCTTTTTTCTAAAACCATGGGAAAAGGTCTTCTATCTGCAGAATTTTCTTCTTTCTTACAGTCAGGGGAAAAAAGTTGTATTTATTCAATAAAAAAAAGTCAACTGAAGTTGTATTTGTCATTTGGGTATTTCTGACAGTTAGTACCAGAGAAAGTAGTTGTGTGAAAACCAGTGGCAAAGACAGAGAAAACATAGGATCAGAAGTCTTCTTCCTTCCGGTAGGAGTTTTAACACATTTTTTTCCTGGAACACCTCCCTTAGGTCCATATAAAGAAGCAAAGATTTTCGTTTTTGTTTTTCTCCTGGTTGGCTCTTTAAGCATCCCCACTAGGTTGAGTCTGAAACTGCTCTAAACTGAAATCTGCTTCCTAATACTCTGTAGTGCTAGTTCAACTCTATGATCTCTACTTTCAGAAGTTAGACTCTCTGACCTGCTCAGCCTTGTCAAACCTCTCATGTACTCTACAGCTCCTACTCAATACATAATCCTTCTGGAGTATTACATATTATAAATATGATTTTATCTTCATACACACTATTGGCATTAACCTGAAGGACTTGCTATCAGGATTAGTGTTTACATTGAACACACATAAAAGGCCTTTTCCAGCAGTAGGAAGTAGCAACATCCAACACAGGTATAACTGGATACATCACAGTAAAACCTTGGGTTTTTAGATTGTTAAATTATATTCCTTATCTTCACAATCCTTGATAATATTGCTTTTCTGTAAACCATTTATATGAAGATAGTTTATTTACTAAAAGTAATTAAGACTAAACCCCTGAGGCAGAGAGATTCTAGTAAAAGGGATCAACTCACCCAAAGCATATAGGATTTAAGACTCTTAAGCCAAATCTCTATCAAGTTATATACATTTTTTAGAACTGAAGAGGTAACTGGTTCAGATATTAGTCTTAAGGGGCTAATGGAGTTTGTTCTTCAAGTTTAGGCTGGTTTGGCAAGATCATTCAGCTTTATATTTTCTGAGAAATAAAACTTCCACAGTGAAAAGTAATCATGTGGGAAATGTTCAGAACTTCATTTTGCCATGGTTGTTTATAGGTCAATTCTTTTTTGTTCTTTCTTAGTGATTTCATATTAATATCAGTTCCTTTGAACATATTAAAATTATATTCACACTGAATGGTCTAACATTTTTGCAAGCTGAATATAATCAAAACATGTGGCTACAGGAAAGCAGAACTATATACTATATACACTATAATGGTAAAGGGGGTTGGTATGAGGGGCAAGAACATAGCTGGAAAAAGCTTGCCTGTTCTTTACACTGAGAGATTTAAACTATTTCTGACAAGAGGATAACTTCCAAAAAGGAACAAAAAAAAAAACAACCAAAGAAAAATCAAATAAGAAACATCACTCCCCTTCGGGATGGTGGTTGACTCTACAACCTCTTTCAACAGGAAGACAGAAAAGCCAATCATAGAAATCTCTTCTCTTCGCCAGCAATTATTTAGGAAAGGGCACATGACCCCTGCCAACGAGAATGAGGTTAGTCAGCTAGAATGACTTTAGGCAGTTAGTAAGCTGATGTTTCCTTGTTCTTAAAACTTAAAAACTGATTTTGAGAATTTACTATTTGAAATTTTCTAAATCAGTAGTTACTTTAAAAACATACTAAATGTTTAACTGAATTCCTCTCTTCTTAAAGATGATATAAGAAAGAAGTGACAAATTAATAATGGATTAATTCTGAGTAAGAAGTTCTCTAGGAATGTTACATTAGGGTTTAAAAAGAAAACAACTCCAATTGATGAGTTTAAAATCATGTCATTAGGTTTTTTTCTCCTCTTTGAAAATTGTGCAAAGATTCCCTGATTTTTATTTTTATTTTTTTTTAATTTGCCATCTATTGACACCACAGATTCCGAAGTAGCAACTGCAGAGGGGGCAGTTCAGACAAAGAAACTGTGTTTATTACTAATCTGATTCAGTTTAGGGATTTTTCTTTTTCTTAACTAGAGATCAGGATCAGAAAAGTCTTTCTTATGACTCCTTTTCCCTGGACCCCAATCTGGTTCCTGTTTGGCACACTATGAGCATGAGCTTCTACCAAAGAGAGAGGCAGCCTTGAGCCCCTTACCAATGAACTCACAGCAGAAGAAAGAGGGAAATGCAAAGCACAAGGAAACCAAAAAGACTAAAGTCAAAAGGTTACATGAGAGAAAGAGTCCTTCACTTAGAAGAAATCCCTTTTTTTATTCAAGATTTTTATTTGTTTGACACAGAGAGAGAGAGAGCACAGGTAGGCAGAGCGGCAGACAGAGGGAGAGGGAGAAGCAGACTTCCTGCTGAGCAGAGCCCGATGTGGGGGCTCGATCCCAAGGGTCCTGGGATCACGACCTGAGCCAAAGACAGACACTTAACCAACTGAGCCACCTGGGCGCCCCAGAAGAAATCACTTTTAAACTTCTGGTTACATGAAAAGCTCCACCTAACAATATCATGGCTTTGCAAACAACCTATTACACTACCGCTTATGAGGAATGAGGCTTGGGGTAGGGTATACTCACTCTTGGAAATTGGAGTGTGCTGAGACCTGAGATTTAGAACATTTTGCTTTGGGCTAGTACAGGCTCTGATGACAGACTGACTGGATTTTAATTCCAGCTTCACTATTTGCCAGTGAGTAGTTGGGAAAATAAGTTCTCCATGCCTTTTTCTCATTGTAAAAATTGGTATTTTTTACTTCGTTGGATTGCTATGAGAACGAAATAAGATTAATATATGTAAAATATTTGGAAGAGTGCCTAGCACACAGCAAGTGCTTAATAAATGTTATTTACTGTTATCATGATCATTATATATAGCTTTGACAGGAGTTTTGCTTTAAAAAGGAGAAATAGCAATGGGTGGTAGCTGGAGAGGATAGTGTAGGCCAAAAGTTTTTACTAAAAACAATTTTTTTAATATTGGGAGAAAAAAAGCATAAGTGTGGAGAGCTGGTTTAGCTGGGGTTGAGATTTTGTCAAGAGAGTACACAAAGTGAGAGAGGGACAAGGGATGAGTGATTACAATGGTGTGATCTTGACGAAGGACTGATGGATATAATTTCCATAAGGGAGCAAGGGAGAACAAGGAGGCTTGAGGAGGCTGAGTCAATAAAAAATGATATAAGGTCACTGGATTGTAGGCCCTGGTGGGGTTGAGGAACTACTGAAATCAGGGTATAAAAGAGAGTAAAATTGGAATACCGGAAATGGTAATGCATAGTAGGAATACCAGAACTGAGAAAAAAGATGGGGCTGTAATTATGGATACACACAAGGTTTAGGACATGAGTGTCTGAAAACTGAAATAGAGTGAAGGATAAATTTCCCAGAAAAATCTTATCATCTTGTATGCCTTACAATGGCATAGAGGCCCTATATGACCCAGTTCTGTTCTTTCTCTGACTTTATCTCCTCCTTTGTCCCTGGCTTTTCTCCAGCCATAATGGCCATCTTGCTCTTCCTTCAGCACACCAAGCATGCTCTGCTTCAGTATTTGCACTTGTTCCCTCAGCCCATTACACTCTTCCCCAAGATAATTACATAACTAGCTCCCTCACCTTCTTTGGCAATTTTCTCTAATGTCACTTTCTCATGGACACTGAAATCTTCAAGATTTAGAACATATGTAGTGTTGCAGACACAGACCAGGAGATAAAAATCTTCAAGGCTGTGGCATCCGGGGGAACTGTTAGATGGCTGCAACGAGCACGAGGAGTGAGCGGTCTGATAGTACCAGCTTCAAAGCTGAGGATTTTAGGGAGGACAGACGGAGGAGTCTAGAAGAAGCAATGAAGAACAAATAGGATCAGACTTTTCTTTCCTTTGAAAAGTTAAATAAAATATGGAATTTATTAAGGATACTGGTAGATCTTACATAAAGTTAGCCCTAACTGCCTCTATTTACTGCTAACTGCACATACTACATTTTGCATGTGTTTTTAGGCAATTCAGAGGATCATCCAGAAAATGGGTCACGAAAGTAAAATTTACTGTTGTGCCAGTATTACTATTTAGAACCCTGTGATTTTAGCAGTAATTATGTGAGGAATTAACTTCCTTTTAAACTGCATGGGCCCAAAACCACTCTACTCTACTAGCGCTCCCAATCATCAATTCAAACAGCCATGTTAGCTTTAGACTTAAGGACATTTGCCTCCTGTGTCAAAATAGGAAATGTAGCAGTAGCAGATATCTAATACAGAAAATGGACCTTTAAAATTATATATGAGAGAACATAAGTTTTTCCATCTTCTCAGTGAATGGCCTTAAGTCCTTACTGTATTGGCCTTCTGGGTGAGAAGAGGTCTCATAAGCTATGATCTATAATATTCGGACCTCAAAGGGCTTAAATATACTATGTAAAATGATAGCAGGGGTCTTGGGAAACCACATTCACGTAATATTTTTCACCTTTGGTAAATGTTTTGGTTCTGAAACAGCACCAAAATATACATTTCAAATTAGTAGCTTGGTCACTTTCAGGAAAGAAAAATGAGCACAATAAATGTCACCTTCTAAAAACAAAAATTAAAAAGTAGAATATAATATTTAAATCACAGGGTATATAATTTATTCATTTTAATCATCTGTTGGGGCACCTGGCTGGTTTAGTTGGTAGAGCATATGACTTTTGATCTCGGGGGGGTTTGTGGGTTTCTGCCACATGCTGGATACAGAAGTTACTGAAAAAAATAAAATCTTAAAAAAAATCTGTGTTTTAAACTAGTTTCTAAAAAAATAAAATACTTTCATTTCTTATCTTTTTCTATGCATCTTTATAAAATATATATACCTAGTGACTGCTGTGAGTAGGAAGCACTGTTCTGATATTCTGAAAGGACTAACTTATAAAAGTTATATGCAGAAAAAAAAAGATTTGAGGCAGCTAAAAAGAACAGTGTTTTGAACATAACTACCATGTGCTATAACATGATTTCATAATGGTTTAATAATATACCACTCCAATTATATGAACTTTTCTCCTAGTAATCAAAAAAGGGCTTTCATGTAAATATATGTCTTATAGACTGTGCAACATACTGAAGTTTACCAGTGACTAAGAAATCACTGGAGAAGTGATTTGGGTAAATTAGGAAGGTTATACATTCACAATAATTTATGGATTAGTTTCTTAAGTTTGGATCAAGAGCCCTAAAAAACTGACACAGAGAAAAAAATGTCTTTGAAGAGAGTGTATTTGATTAATCAGAAACTATGAGTAATCCCTGCAAAAAAACAGATGATAAATGGAATCTGCCTGAAAGAGGAAATTTTAACCCAACCACTGTACTTGAATACACGGTGCTTTATGTATTCCTATAACACAGACTATAAAAATATGTGTACTAAAGGAAAGAGATTTGGGGCACCTGAGTGGCTCAGTCAGTTGAGCGTCTTAACTCTTGGTTTCGGCTCGGGTCATGATCTCAAGGTTGTGAGATCAAGCCCTGCATCGGGCTCTGTGCTCAGCATGAAGTCTGCTTGAAATTCTCTCTCTCCCTCTTCTCCTCCCCCACCGCTCACACACTCTCTAAATAAATAAAATCTTTTTTAAAAAAAGGGATAGAGATTTAATATAATTAATAAAATTTAATAAACATGGAAGCCAAACTTCAGAGGGTCGAAAAAATATAGATTGCTGAATAGGAGGAAAATAAAGTATGTTAAGGTTCTTGTGGCGGTGGAGGAAGAGACACAGATATGGATTATTAGTAGATGCTAATTAAATTAGGAAATGCTAATTAAAAATTAATAATTGTTAAAAATTTTAAGGGTTAGGAAATTATGAGAATAGGTGTGATTTTAACAGAATTTCCTTTGCCGCTACTCTCAACACCATTAAAAAACTTTTAGTTTTTTCTAAGCCAGGTGACTGCTGAGACTTAGAGATAACTGGTATAAATGTGAGACATGAGGCTCGCTTGGAATCCTATCTGAAAGAAAAGGGAACTGATACAGAACTTTCTTCTGTATCAGTGGATTCTATGAACAGCTTGATAATCAGAGATATCTGGCCCCTATATAAGCATATTATTATCTTTTTCAAGCCCAAAGGGAACTGAATGGGTAGACTGAATCGTCCCTGCCCTGGAGATGGAGAGATTTACAGAGAACTGAGAGACATAAGGGATATCCTTCAGGTACCTCAGCAAGGGATTGTCACTTCACTTTTCACTACTTGGAGGACTATTAATATAAAGGATATCCCCATATCTCAATATAGCAGATCTGATCCCCCTGAGCTAAGAAAAAAACAAAAAGAAAAAGAAAAACAAAACAACCCATTTAAGGAGCCTAGCAACCAGAGAGGAAATCAGCAAAGTAATCAAAACATGTACTCAGTAAAACAGAAATACTAGAGAAGATGAAAACATAAATGAAAATAAACCACAGCATTTAAGGAGATTCAAGTGTAGTGCACACACAGGTCTAAAAGCTTAGTACATTATTTTTAAAACAAAATTTTACTTTATTTTGAAACAAAATTTTAAATGAATTTAAGGGGATGTCATTCACTGTAAGTGCAAGAAATATTTCAAAGTACAAGACAAACATAAGTAAATGGAAATCATGAGGGTGAAGATTTGAAAAATAGGTCAAGGAAATACAAAATGCAGATAATAGGAATTCTGGAAGGAGAAAAAAAACAAATGGAAAAAATGAAACTATTCAACAGATAACAGTAGAAAATTTTACCTGAGTTAGAGAAAGCCTGGATTCTGCTAAGTTCCAGGTTGCACTGATGAGAAAAGCACACATTTAGACATGCTTGGCAAAGTTCTAGAACTCTAAGGATAAAAGACAATCTTATAAACATCCAGGTAGAAAGAGCAAGTTAACTAATAGAAAAAAACTCAAGACTGGCAACAAAATAGCTCATCTATGCACCCTGAGACAAATAGCATCTATCCATCCTGAGAGAAGAGGACTGCCTCTGAGGAGCCTTTACTCAGTAAATTTATTATTCACCTTTCAGAGGAAAAGTAAAAAAGAAACTAAAAATGAGACCTCAAGATGGAATAAGAGTAATGGAAACACTGGCTAGCCATGTTAAATTAAACATAAATGGATAAGGTCAGACTTTTCAGTGTTATGAAAATAGGAATTAAAACTTCTGAAGCAGAAGAGAAAGGCAGTAAAATCACTCTAAAGATCTCACTGTGAGAGAAGAGTAAAGAAGGTAAGTATATTCTAAAGAGGGACAGGTAATTTTGCTCTGCCAGTTATCAGAATATAGCCTAAAAAAACCACTGTAATCAAATAAATATGGTATTTGTTTAGTATAGACTTAGAAAAAAGACAAAAACAAAACAAAATAAAAACAGTTGAACAGAACAGAGATTCCAGATGCAGATCCCAGGTTACCTGAGATTTGATATGTGACAAAAGTAGTAGTTCAATTCTGCTGGACAAAAACAGTATAAAAAATTGGTGTTGGTATAGCTATCTATCCATTTTGGAAGAAGAGAGAAACAGACTCCTACACTACACTATAAGCAAAAATAAATTTCAAATGGATTAAAGACTTAGTTTAAATTAAAGTCTTAGTCCATTCTGGTTGCTATAAAAAAATACCACAGACTGGGCAGCTTATAAACCAACAAGAAACATTTATTGCTCATAGGTCTGGAGGCTCGAAGTCCAAGATCAGGATGCCAGCACGGTCAGACTGTAGTGAGGGCCCTCTTACAAGTCACAGATATCTCATGTGGTGGAAGGGGCTAGAAATCTTTTTATGAAAGCACTAATCTTGCTCAGGAGGGCTCTACTAATGGCCTAATCAGCCCCAAAGGCCCCACCTACTCATACCATCACCTTTGGTGGTTAGGATTTCAACGTAAGAATTTGGTGGTGGTGGTGGGTGGGGTGGGGGAAACAAAACAGAGACCATAGCAAAGACTTATTTTGAAAAAAGAAAAAATTCTAAGAAAATCTAGAAACTGTATTAAACGAAAGAGCTATTTTTCTTTGTCCTATATGACCTCAATACCAATATATATGTAAAATATCATATGTAATATATATATAATTAACAAAGAATACTCAAATTCAATAAAAGATAGGAAAGGAAAAGAAACATTAAGAGAATACAATACATAGAAAGTATAAGATAATATGGGCAGAAAAGTATAAACATACATACGCATAAAAATATGAATGGTTATATTCATCTATTCATCTTGAACTGGGTGAAATAATAAGAAAATCAAGCTATTATATATCATTGACAAAAGGCAAACCTAGAATAAAATGACATTAGAAAGGACGGGAAAAAAGCATATCAGGTTAAGTAATAAAAATTAAAAATAGGACTTTTTTGGGGTGCTTCTATTGCATTCAAGTAGATTCAATAGTCATCATGAACCTTGTTATATTCAAGAACAGTGACAGGAAATATAGAAAGCAAAAACTGAGAATGAAGAGAAAGAGACATAGTAGCAATCATACCGGGATCCTAACATACCTTTCACAGAATCTAGCAGGTGAAGTACATGACATATCAGTACAATATAATTTAAATGGCATCATTTAAATCCTGAATATACATATATATACAGCCTGTGTACATATATAGACACACATAACATTTATGTACATAGTATGTTTTTAATATATGATTCGTATCACAAATGTATCTATATATTTATATAATTCTGTACCCCAAAACTCAGAGTTTATACATTGTTTTCTCACACACGATATTGCCAACAAGTAACTATGTATCTTAGGCCACACAGAAAATTTCAACAAATTCCTCAAACGTAGAGATTGGCTA